GCATACAGTCTTAATTACTATGGCTTTATGGCAAACTGAGTAGTGTCAGCCCTCTGACTTTCTTCTTTATCTATAATGTTACATTGACTATCCTGAGCCTTTGACCTTTCTTTATAAAATTTAGAATCAGTTTGTCAGTATCCACAAAATTATTTGCTGGGATTTTCTAGACTATTGATGTGATGGATTATATTAATTGACTTTCAAATATTGAACGACCCTCATATATTTGGAATAAATTCTACTTTGTTGTGTTGAATAATTCTATTACATTGTTGAATTGGCTAATGTTTTTTGAGGATGTGTCAACATCTATGTATGAGAAATACTGGTTTTATTTCCTTTGCTTGTAATGTCTTTGTCTGCTTTTTGTTACTAGGGTAATGTTGGCCTCATAGAATGTTAGGAAATGTTCCTTCTGCCTCTGTTTACAGTAAGTGATTGTAGAGAATTGGTCTAATTTCTTCCTTAAATGTTTAGTAGAATTCACCACTTAAATCATTTGGGCCTAGTGCTTTCTGTGCCAGAATTTATTTATTTATTTTTGACACTATTACATATATCCCCCTTCCACCCCTTTGCCCCCAGCCCCAGCCCCTGGCCACTTTCACTGTAATGTTGTCTCTGTCCATGGGCTATGCCATATGTGCATATATTTCTTTGGCTATTAATTGTTGATTCAATTTCTTTCATAGATATAGACCTATTCAGACAATCTTGTTTCTCCTTTGAGTTTTGGTACACTGTGTCTTTCAAAGAATTGGTGCATTTCATCTAACTTACCAAATTAGCAGGCATGGAGCTTTTCATAATATTCTTTTATTATCTTTTTAAAGTCCGTGAACTTAGCAGTGATGACCCGTGTCAATTTTGATATTAATAATTTGTGTCTGTCTTTTTTTCTTGGTTAGTCTGGCTAGAGGTTTCAGTCTTTACGAGTAACCAGCATTTGGTTTAGTGATGCTCTAATTTTCTGTTTTTAATTTCATTGCTTACTTTGCATTTAATTTGCTCATTTTCTTGTTTTCTCTCTTAGAATATTAACTTATTTCTAACATATGCATTTATTATTTCCAACATATGCATTTAATGCTGTAAATTTCTAAGCACTGCTTTTGGTGCATCTCACAAATTTTTGAAAGTTATATTTTTATTTAGTTCAAAATATTTTAAAATTTCTCTTGAGACTTCTTTGATCTGTGTGTTATTTGAAAGTGTGTTGTTTAATCTCCAAATATTTTGAGATTTTCTAGCTATCTTTGTTTATTTCTAATTTAATTCCATTGTGTTTGAGAGCATATTTTGTATGATTCCTGTTTTTTCAATTTGTTAAGGTGTGTTTTATGGTCCAGAGTGTTGTTTATTTGGATGGATATTCCATGTGAGCTTGGAAAAAAATGTGTAAAGTTGGAAATGGGTTTCACCAGACCCAAACCAAGGCGTCCGCAGGGCCACACTTCCTCAGGACGTGCTGCGGGGAATCGTTTCCTTGCCTTGTTCATTTTCTAGAGGACTCCTCATTCCTTGGCTGGTAGCTCCTTCCTCCATCTTTAAAGCTCATCATTCCACTTCTATTTCTGTGGTCACATTTCCTTTTTTCCTCCCTCCCTCCTGCATTCCCTTTTTTAGATTTTGTGATTACATTTTCCCCATCTGGATATTCCAGGATAATCTCATCTCAAAGTCCTTAACATAATTATATCTGCAAAGCCCTTTATACCTTGTAAGGTAACATACTTGTGTTCCATAGATTGGGATATGGACATCTTGGGTCCATTATTCAGCCTGCCACAGTAGTGGAAGTCAGGATTTGAATTCAATAAACCTGCTCAGGAAACTGCTTCTCTGCTCTTTCCGTCTTCCATACCACCTTCTACATTTAAATATCTCCTTTATGGTTTAATTTTCTGTGTCTACCTTTCCAGCTAGAATGATCACAGGACATAAAGCATTTGACCGAAATGAGTCCAGGTTAAGGAAATTACATGGAATGATGAGATATCAACAATAGAGAAAATAATTGGTCTTATTTGGTTCCTCAGCCTTTTAAGGCTGTGTATATGTCTGACTTTTGCAGTTAACCAGTTACTGCCTAATATTAATATAAATTAATATTAAGATAAGGATATGCGTATGTATTTAAATTTAAGTATTCTCCTGTGACTGGTTGGCTACTCTGTTAGATAGCACAGCTCTGTAATCTCTTAACATTCCACTACACTGATCTTACAGCACTGAAATGCTAATGCTGAAGAAAGCTTCTGAAATGGAAATTCTAACAAGCCATGTTGCCTTAATTTTTGGTTTCTCTATTTGTGGGATCAGAGTCAAGGCCTAAAATAATACACATTTTAGAGACACTTTAGGTAGAACAAACTTGCCATTGAGTTTGGCCAGATACTCTTCTTCCAGTCACCAGAAGCATAATTAATAGTAAAAAGCCTTGGTAGTTTATTTTATCATATTACTTTATTCCTGGAAGTACCTTGTGAGAATTTAACTACTAACACAAGCTACTATAATAAAGGACTGTGTGAAACCACATTTGAATAGTGGTTTATTATACTGGCAAATTTAACTACGTTTCTTTGCAGTTTATGGGAACCCCACCCAAACTTTAACCTGTTTCCCATTTTGATGAGGTCCAATCAGGGGAAAAAAGCAAACAAAATAATCTTCCTGTGTGGCCTGCAGATATCAAATCTGAAGATTATAATGCATTTCCAGCTAGGGACCATAAGCAAACAAACTCTCCTACAGATAACTACACCCTTCCTGTTTGGGATTGAGTTTACTGTGGAACAGATTTCGGAAATAGGTTTCTGACAGTGGTGAGTTTTATTTATAAAATGTTGGAGGGTGTGGTTCTTCCTTTAACAAAAAACTAATTATTCCCTATCTAGTGCCCAACCAGTGCATTGTAAGCAGTCTTTTTAGAAAATTTACCCATTAGTAGAGGATTACATTGCCTTAGGCAGTTCTGCTTGTCAACTAATGTACAAAATTTGTCTATTACAATGAATAATTCAAAAAGGACGTACAATTAAAAAATAAAACGCAATCTTTAAATGCTTGTATTATCTTGTCTCCAGAGTGATAGTAGTTTACAATTTAAATAAATGTATGAACATATTTTAATACGTCTTTACTTTTGATATGCAAATCTGTAGCACATTTATGTTCTGTAAATATGCTAAATGAAGACTTAGAGTTTAGGTAAAACAGCAGATTTACATTAAAGAATTTGTAGGTTAATTCACAGTGTAACATTATCCTCATCTAGTACATCTGTTATAAAGAAGCCTATAAAGTTTAGGCCACCCACAAAGTGGTCTGCTGAGGCCTGTGGTTGGTGTTCAAATGCTGTTATTATGTGGGCTGACTGGTTTGGTAAGGAATTTACCCCCACTAAGACTGAAACTTCATGGTTCTGACTTTCCCCCATGGCGGCTGCATTGGCTTGACTTGGGTGCTATGTGTTTGTTAGACCAGTTAATGTACTCTATGGCCTTGACATCATAAATAATATGTGAATGGTATACTGTTTTTTATGTTGCTTTATTAGGGTAGTATTATCAATTTTGGGTCATGTAAATCTTCAGATAAACTGGAATAAATGGTTGGTTTAAATAGCTGAATTAAGCTTAATTTCTATTATAAGTAAATGTCATTGTTTGCTATTATAAGTAAATGTCATCAAATGGCAAAATGTGTGTGTGCATGCATGCATGCTGAGATGGAGAAGGCAGCTAAGGGTTTTATATATTTTAATTTCTCTCTCATTTGAAGAACTTAATCCTTTTAATTTCCTGGAGGCTTATGAATGATTTTCAAGAGCAATGGCATGAATTCAGTATAATTTAGCAACCTAGTATGAGTCAAAATCAAATATTCTTCTTCTAATATCTTTTTTAAGGAATCAGATATCACAGGCATTTATAAAATACAGCAGCAACCACCACATCTAGCAGTGGTTGTTTGAGGAATAAACACTATCATAAACCAAGCAATGTCTCAAATCACTTTTTTCTAAAGTTTTCTAAATGAACAAAATCCTTTTTCAGAGAATAAACATGCTATGTTGTTTTTGTTAAATTTAGAAAAGGCAAAATTAATTTAATAATTTTTAAAAATCAGATAATTTGTATTTCACTTAATTTTCATGGAGACTTATCTGTAATTTTTCTTTACACACATGAATTATGAAAAATAGCATAGAGATCTAAAATGCATTTTGTGACAACAAATTAAGGAAGTGACATGTCCTTAATAGTGTGAGGAAACTGCAATTTTTGGACAGAAATAACATCCAGTTACCACTGATAAAAATTAATATATACATATTAAAGTAAAATAGTAAAATATAAACATTAAGGTAGAAAATATATACACATGTATATATGTAATATGTGTGTATTTATATACCCATGTGTGCATGTGTAACATTGTTTTGATCTTAACTCTGCCTTTCTGACTTTGTAGTTAAATATTTACAACGTGAAAAATTTTTTTCAAATAGATACTTTTGACATTCTTATACTTGTTTATTTTATACTAAACAGAATTTACAATTTTTCATCTGGTCATGATTCAAACAAATATTGTGAAGTTAGGGGCTCAGAAACTTTTTTCTTCCAAATAAGTAAATGAGTTAAGCCATATAATGTGCCTTACCTAGCCAGTCTTTGTTCCTAGTTCTTCTCATCTCTAGTCTGATGTCCTTTTTGCAGACTGTGTTATGCTGACATGTGCTGTGCCTAACTTCTTCAGCAGTGTGGTGTATCACAGTTTTTCTACTCATTCAAATTGTCAGCAAACCTCAAAGATAGAGGTCTACATGTCCTTTGGCAATAGTGACTGCTCAGGGCCAGCTGAAGTTCAGCTGTGTTACTGTGTCTCCCTTTTGAACTTTAGCATCATAGTTCTGCCAACTGAACCAACTCAATCTTTGACTAATTATTTTCATTTGTAGCTAACTACAATGTATTTCACCTTTCTAGGTTTACCGGCAAGACTGTGAAACATTTGGGATGGTTGTGAAAATGCTGATTGAAAAAGATCCTTCATTAGAGAAGTCCATACAGTTTGCGCTGAGACAGAATTTACATGAAATAGGTGAGCGGTGTGTTGAAGAGCTCAAGCATTTCATTGCAGAATATGACACCTCTAGTCAAGACTTCGGGGAGCCATTTTAGAAATTTACTTGCTCAGGCAAAAAAATGTTTCTGGATTTTTTTTCCTGGATTGTGTAAATCCTTAATATATGGATTTTTGTGATGAAGTATTTTATGATAGTTGACCACCTTTCCGATATTAAATAAACATCTAAAAGAATCTTAAGATATTTTAATTAGAATTTTTTTTTTAATCATTAGAGCCTCCTAATCCATAGTTACTTTCCCTCCTCTAAAATGATGGGTCAAGTAATGTTTCAAGTCTGGAGAACAGCTTTTCTGTACTTCTTCATGTTCTGTAGTCTTCCATAGTACGTGATCATTTGTTTGGTCACACTAGTGTAGTTTTTAGAGATTGTCCCATTTAAACATAGTCTTTTTGCTTTTCATAGTCAATGATACCATGTGATAATGTTAGAATTCTAAGTTGTAATTTTACTGACTTTTTGCATGCTTATCTTAGTCTGTGTAAGTTTTAATATGTTTAAGATCCAAATAAACTGAATACCTTGGTATCTTAGAGAATATTTTCTTTGAGTATAAATTCTCATTGTGGTAACTAGAGCACTTAAACCTCTTCAGAGACACCTCACAATAAAATCCTGTTTTCCAAGTAAATGAACGTCATGTATTAAAATGATCCTGAAATTCTTGTGTGAGCCTTAAACAACATCATACATAGGTAATGTGAAATGAAAGATGAGGGCTATTTTAAAGCTGAGATTTCTGTTAAAATTTCTAATTGAAGAAAAATTTAGAATTTGAGGGAGTAGTAGAGCTTCATTTTTTCCATTAGCCCAAATTCCCCATCTCAGGAAAGATAACTAATAACATATCCACGATTAAACCATTTGCAAATTATGCCTTTGTTAATCTCTTTGTAGTCTAGCAACATCATTGTTTTGCTACCCTTTTAAGGGGTTCTTAGCCCTTCAAAATTGTTCTTGGAAGAAACAAAGCAGAGGAGGTAGTAAACCTAGCACAACTACCTTTTGCCAAGCAGTCTGTTGTAAACAATCCTTCATGAGCCAGCCATCCAAATAACAGGTTAGTTAAGAATCTAACTGGGACGATTAGAATATTCCACTCATTTCCTGATCACTTCCAGCTGCCCATTGGCATTGAGCCAAAATATGTAATTTTGTGGCATTAGTTAGGAAACCTTAAAAATTGTGTTTGTTATTACTGTCCAGTGTCATTATCCTCCCATCCTCTTTCTTTTTCCACTCTCTCCTCACTTGAATTCTGGCATCATTTTTGCTGTCCTTTATTGATAGTATCTTAACAGCTACCCCAGAGTAGATAAAAATTTTATTAAATATGGAAATTGTATAAATAATTTTAGCAGATCTTTAATAGGTACTTCAAAACATGTATTATGCTATGCCATTCCACAAACTTAAAATTGAATTGAAGGCAACAATTATTTTATTAAATTGCCTATATAAGACCACCTTGACTTTTTTTTTTCTTCCATTTAGATGTTGTACATAAGCCAAAACTCAACCCCATGTATCATCTCTGGTACTCTTTCCTAATATGAACAATGATTTTGTTTGTTACAACCACTTTAGAAAGACTAAAAGGACTGATCTTGTTTCTCTCCTGCCCCTATGTTTTCCTTCTCTTTAAATGTTCTTATTTAATCCAGGATTCATTTTCTTTAGTTGAGATGTCACAGTTTAAAAATAAAACTTGAGAAAACACTACGGAGGCAAAAGAGTTGTTCACTTTTTTGAAATTCATTAAATTACAGAACTTTAACTCACAGATGCATTTAATATAGGTTCAACAGATCATTTTTTCTTCTCCCCTTCCCCCAAATTATATTCACATTTAAAGTTGTTTATAACTTGTCATCAGCATTATTCTGGTAGGCTTTTCAGTGTTAAATCTGTCTGGTTTTTTGTTTTTTTTTAAAGCTTTAACGTCTAATTTTAGGATAGATTAATTCAGATGTGTACCAGAGTGTGTATTTTGCAAAATGTTCTTTATTAAAAAAAATTTGTAAATTTATCCATTGTTTTTGAGTATGCCCAATTGATGTGATAAAATTATCATTGTCTTAAAAAGCCTTGATGATCAAAACGGGACACCAGATATTGTGCAGCTTTTTGTGAATTTTAAAAGTGCGAAATAAAGCAACCAGGTTTAAATATATTGTCTTTTTTCTCTTTAACCGGTTTAAAGTGTTTTGCTGAAATGTAAATTTTTATTCCTTTCTACTGCAAGCTTACTCCTTAGTGTTCAGTTCACCTGCTCAGCAGGATGGAAGAAGTTTGAGAATTGAGAAACTGTTACCTTTGGTGTCTTATGGAGTCTTGATATCTGAGAAAGCAGTTAAACATAAAACCTAGCATGTGGTAGTACTCAGTAATTGCGTAATTGTGAGCTTGAGATTCAGAGAATTGTAGGATTAAAATCCTGCACCTTTATCATAACCTCTATAGGGCTCAGGAACCGTGTTTCCTGCTGAAGATCTTAAACTCCAAGACTCTGACAGTTCTTTGGCAAAAAACTTTGAGACAGTGGTCAGGTCATATTCATGGTGGACAGTATTCAGTGTTGTGGGCTGCCAGCCCCGCAGGTGGCTTTGCTGCTGTAACACTGCTGAGGCTGGCACCTGGGGCTCCCATTAGGAATGGCCACATTCTGCTCACCACACCAAGACCAAGGTTTGTGGGTTATGCATACTACATTTATCACCTCCTTCCTGTTAGTTCTTCTGAGAGCACTGATGTTACCCAGTTCACCAAGTGATAAGAAAAAAAAGGTGGGGGGGGGGGAGGTGTAGTAACTAAGGTAGTTAGCAGAATATATAGTCTCCTTTTAAAACTGAGTCACACGACTGCCTTATTAGGACTATGTTTGCTGTGTTCCCCCTGCAGTTAGGGGTGATCAAGTTAGACTAATTTCTCTCCTATGGAATTCGAGTGAAAGTGCTACTTCTGGGCTGGGACCCTTAGGACAATAGATATTCCTCCTTCATGTTCTCTTTTATCCTATCCCAAAAGTCGTAGCAATAGCAACCCAGCTTTGATTGCAGAGAACAAGATGGAAGGAGCCTGGATCCCTGTGTGACCACATGGAGTATTATTGAACTATTGCATGAAAGAGGAATCAATTTCTATTGTTTAAGCCACGTGATTGGTTTCTTGTTAACAGCTCACCTTTTGCTCAGATTAATATAAATGATATTTGAGGGTTAGCTTCACTGAACTTGACCTTGGCTGGCTGTGCAAGTCCCACATTTCTGATACAATAAGCGATCTTGGAGTAACGGGGACTGATTATATAAAAAGCTTTGCCAGTTCGTTGAGTTTGTTTCAAGTTGTATTTGAAATGTCACATGATGAGAACTATCATTAAAACCTCATTTGTATAGCAGTAGAGGCAGCTTGATTCTATAGCACACTTTTTTTTAATCTCTACTCTCCCAGATTAATGGTGTTCTAATGACAGACCATTGTCGCTAAAATTGTGTAAGGTTTTAAACTGTTTTTCTCGCATGTGTGTATATGTGAAATGGCAGAGGTTTATTGAAATATAAACATTCTTTGAGGGCACCAAGGGCCCACTGAGAGGATGAAGCTGGGCAGGCTGCCTGGAGAAAGGGAGAGGATCTAATGACTGTCCCTACATCCTCCAAGTGGGAAGAGTCCATCCTTTGTGACCAAACTCCTGAGGAATACACTGGCTCAATGTCTGCGATACCTTCAGGTGGGCCCAGCTCCAGCCAATGGGTTCCTCCCTGGCACCAGATCCAAGATGCCCGTCTCTGCCCACACCCTGCATTTGTCTGGTGGATAAGGTGGGGGAGGCTTCTAAAGCCAGGAAAGGGTCAGTCCCCAGTGGATGGGGCTGTGGGGGGCCGGGAGGGAGGGCACAAGGCTGGGGGAGGAGCGAAAGGAGATGCAGTCCATCAGAGCTGCAGCTTAGGAGGTTGAAGGGTCGGTTTTTTGCTCAAGCTTTTGATTTCCCTGTCCTCTCCGAGACAGGACTGAATGTTTGCTGTGCCGTGGGCCCATGCAACCATGGCCTCCCACCACTGATGGCCCAGTGGGCGGTGTTCTGAACGCTGCAGGGCTTACTCAGTTGAGGGGTGGTCTTGTGCAAGAATCACCTTTTCTTTACAATGTAGGCGCAACCTGATCCAGCCCAGGGTCCAAGAGGAGAGATGAAGCTCTCTCAGCATCTCTCATCCCTTGGGGCAGCTTGATGGCTGTGGCCTCCAGGCCCAGCCTCTGTTCTGAGGTAGGAAGACATCCTTAACTGCTAAGCTAGGGATAGGGGAGTGGGAACAGCGCCCCTTTGGCAGAAATTTCCCATTTTAAAAGCTTTGTTTACTGCCACTTCTTTAAAGTAGAATCTAGTGTACTATTTTGGACGTAGCTTAAAATGTATTTCAGGTTTAATATTAAATGTTTTATGGGATTCTGAGAAGCCACGTGTTTTTCAGTTATTTCACTATCTGAGCAAGGTTAGAACCACATTCTAGTGTTTTCTGAGTCACAAACATTTTCCCATGTAATAAGCTGATGGGGATTTTATTCTCTTTTTTACATTTAAGGGCAAGAGAAGTTACAACTTGCCTAAGGTCAGATAGCTGGCTAGAAGTGGTAGAGCCAGGGGTGTACTCAAATCTTTAAACTGCAAACTCAGTGTTCTTGGAAAAGTAGGAAAGCTTGGTAGTCCCTTTATCCTCAGTTGCTACCTTCTGTGTTGGTTCCTATGACTTCTGCTTTGGAACTATTTTTAAAAACGCCATTAAGGTTCGTTCATTAGGGGTAGTTGTTAAGGGGCAAGGGCATGTCGGGTTATAGTCCCCATGGCCACAGTGCAGCTCAGGACACAGCTCTGTGGGTGGACCCCTGGTGGATTGAGAGAAGAGCCATTTAAGTGGAATGAACCTGGTAATTCAACTCTCCTATGCTAGGAACCAACATTAATTAAATATAGTTAACACCTTTGCAGCTTTGCTTACAACGTGTTCAGAGATTCTAGACTAAGATTGCTGCTGTTAGTAGCCAGCCGAGATGTAGAAAGAAAAATCTTACTTTTCATCCTGGTAACCAGGGAGAAATAACATGAGGGAGGAAAATAACTTAATTTTGCATGGCTGCAATCTTCAGACTGTAAATAATGAAGCTAAAGCCAATT